ACCCAGCAGTAAGCAGTGGCTTTGCCACCCTGTCACTGGGACAGAGGATCTGTGAATCCCAGCCTCCTCTCATGGGACTGGGGAAGCAAGCCCTCGTGCTCCAAGTGCTAGAAAGGGCATCAGGTCAGGGCTTGGGTGTCTGGAAAGCCCAGAGAGGCCAGAGGCCGAGTTCAAGGTCACCCAGCCAGTGAAACTGGGCTTGGAAACTCAAAACTTCCTGCTTAGCATTTTTCTGCCTAGCTAAGCTGATTCTCCAGGTAAGAGGACGTTTTTGCTTCTGTGTACAAAATTCCGTTCCTCAGTGATGGGGGCTCTGGGGAAGCTGCAGCTGCAGTGCGGGCTGTTTTGAAATGGACTCATCCCCAGACAGTTCGGTGGGTTCAGACGGAGCCTGGACACGGGCCCAGAGCACGCACTGTGCCCCGGGCCTCTCCAGGGGAGACTGTGTTTAGTAATGGAGATCACTTTAAGAACGTACCTTGATTCTCTTTTGCTGACTGTCAGATAGTTGGCGATCCCCGTGGCCCCAGATATTCCCAGCATAGCGGATTTTAAACGACCTCGTGCTGCTGTGTTGCGCCGGACACTGTGATTCCCCCAGGCGGTGCCTGTGGATGGACAGTGTTGAATCGTCCCCTGTTAGAAGTTACTTGGCACTGAGCGTCTTGGCTTGCTTCTCTGCGGGTTTCTCTGAGTGAAACTCCCCAACTGGAGCTGTTGGTTAGGGTCCTGAGCCTTTAGAAGAGTTTGGGAGGGGTCTTGCCAAATGGGCCTGGGAAAAGTCGTCCTCCTCCACACACTGCCCCCACCCTGGTGGGATCACCGGTCATCCAAACCACGGACTAGCAGGTAGCAGGGGGCTTGCCATGCCGCCTGATCTCCGGCCTGTGATCCCTCCACAGGACACACAGCGGCCGCCATCCCACAGGTGACACTGAGAAGGGACCGGGTTTGCTCTTGCAGTATCCAGGGTGCGCCACAACACCATCTAGCAGTCATTCTACAATTGTCACACTGGGAAACCTTGACTCCACTCTGCAGACGCTGCAGAGCTCTGTCTTCTCAGCTGTAAAAACCGCTGTCATGAGGATGAAGTCTGACGGTCTTTGCAAATCCAAGTAAATGTGACTATGTTAACATAACGTATTAGTAACGGCTGTCCGTGTTGGTGCGGGCATGAGTATCGGTGGAGCGCTGTTCTGAGTGTCCGAAGGCAGTGTCAGCAGCAGCCAAAGCTCTGGAGGCAGACAGACCTGGTGTAGACCCTCGTCATATTCCCTGCACAGGAACCTGACCTGCGACAGGCAGCTGGGGGGATTGGGAAAAGGACTGTCCGCATCTTGTTTTGGAGACAGGGTCTTGTTATGTAGCCTAGTCTGGCCTTGAACTTGGGATCCTCCTGCCTTAGCCTCCCGAGGGCTGGGATTACAGGTGTGGGCCGCCAGGCCTTCCCACTTTTTAATAATTCATAATAAGCTTCTTTTTAGAACATCTGGCAAAAGTTTTATGCTTGCTTGTCCTTTCATTTTCATGTTAGTCACAGTGCCAAGTTTGTAAGTCTAGCAGTACTAAAAGTCCATGCCCTTCTGGGGGTGTGCGTGTCAGGAGCACGGCCCTGTGCGAGCCTGTGGCGAAGTGTTGAGGAATTTGGAAAACGATTGTTAAACACAGCCTCCATTAAAAATTAAATCACATTAGCTTGCAATTAACTTATATTAAAAATTCATCCGTAATTGTTTTGCGGCTGGGTTCTCCGGGTTACGTATGTCCGCGTTTGCGGAGCGTTGAGTAACTTGATCTCTTCTCTAGCCTGAAGTCATCGAGGGAATATTGACACCACTGAAACTGGCAAACGCACAACCCTCCTCTTCTTACCCTGGAGACCCAGGTGCCAAACACCCACCTGCTCGCACTGCCTGCAGCCGCAGCCCCTGTGCCACCTGGCTGCACCCCAGTTCCCTGCCCCCCGAAACTAGCTGTTCTCACTGCCTTTAGCTGTCTGTCTGTACTGAACTCCATGCCTCTCGATTACACGCTGTATCACTGTCTTGATTTCTTTCTTTCTTTCTTTTTTTGAGATGGGTTTTTTGCTCTGTAGCCCAGGCTTTGGGGAACTCTGGCATTTGAACTCAGGGTCTTCTGCCTACCGGGCAAGTGCGCTCTGCTTCAGCCACTCCCCAAGTCCTTTTGATTTTAGGGTTTTTTTCTAGATAGGGTCTTGAACTTTTGCCCAGGGCCATCCTAGGACCATGGTCCTCCTACTTCTGCCTCTTGTGTATGTGGGGTTACAGATATGTGTCACCGTGCCTGGCTCACTTTTTGGGATAGAGTCTGGCTAACTTTTGCCCATGCTGGCCTCGAACTGCAGTCCTCCTGATCTCTGCCTCCTGAATAGCCGCCTCACTGGCTTTTAAAATCTTAGCCACTGCCCCTGGACTGCCCACAATGGCAGTGAGGCTCTGGCCACCTTCAGCCCCACCTCCCCTCCACGCGCCTCCCTCACTTTGCCTGCCTTTTCTCCCAGTGTCCTACAGCACAACTGTTGTTTAAGTAAATACTCAGAATTAACATTATTACCACTGCAGAAGTAGTGTTCACGACTCATTACGGGTGATTACATTTGCTTTTTATACAACGTTTTTTTCCTGCACTTAATCGCATTTTTTAGTTTACTTGATTTCTCTATAGAAAAATGGTTTTCAGACTTTTCTTTTTAGCAGTGAAACTCATCTTTCAAGCACAATTCTAGATGGAACCCCACTGTGTAAAATAGGAAAATCAGGCTACAAGGGGCCCTGCCCTTTGGGGTGGGTGGGGGGGTCCCATCACGGAAACACCAGTGTGCCTCTGCCACGGAGCCCTTACCCACCCTCCATTGTGAGGGACAGGACCACCTGGAAGTGCGCATTACCCTGGGTTGGCTCTGCTTTACAAAGAGTTGTTGGTAGCCAGGTGTGGTGGTGCACAACTGTAATCCCAGCAGCAGAGTAGACGAGGCAGGAGGATCTCAAGTTCAAGACCATCCCAGGCTACATAACAAGAATCTGTCTAAAACAACAAAAGAAAAACGGCGTGTTCCCTCCCCAAGCCTGGGCTCAGCCTCTCCGCATTCCACAGGGGTTCGAGTGACGTGGATGACCCTGGGCCTCCAGTGCACCCCACACCTGCTGACTGACTCAGTGCCCCTCAGATCTGCCTAGGCTGGGCTGGGTGCCAGAGCTTCCTGCAGACAGCTCTGACACTTGGAGGCACAACAGCCCCGTGAGAGGGTCGGTGAGCTGTAGAGGTGGCCGCCAAGGTCCTACAAATTCCTCTCGCCAGGATGGCTTTCCGGTCACAGACTGAGGACCTACTGTGCACCAGGCCTGCAAAGACCTGCAGGTTCCAAGACGAGGACGACACAGCCCCTCCTCACAGCCAAGCAGAAGCAAACTGACGGCGAACCCGAAGGTCCGTGTTATGATAAAGGGGGGCAGGAGTGCTGTGACAACGCAAGGGGAGCTTGCAACCCAGGGAGGCTTCCTGGAGGAGGTGCCAGCTAACCTGTCCAATAACAACTGCTGTGGTGTCCAGAACATTCCAGCCATGACGACAACCACTGCACTAAGCATGTTCACTTATTTCATCTTCACAGTAATCTAAGAAGTAGCTGTTGCTGCCCTCACCTTAGTAAACGAGGAAATGGGTTCAGAGAAGTTTACTGACTTCCCCAAGGCCACACAGCTAAGATGTGGCAGGACCGTGACTCAGTTGTGTCCAGGTGTTCAAGACGCACACTGTACAAGGATGAATAACGGATATAAATGAATGTAGAGGTGGACCCCAAGACTCAGGCCTCTCTGCTTCCTCCTGATCCAGACCTGATGGTGTCAGCTCCCCGGGGTCCACAGGGACAAGATGAGACTGGTGTGTGGAGGGTGACACGGTGGTCAGCGTGTGTGACTTGGGCTGTTCTGGTGACAACTTTGACTGTGTTTACTTGAGGATGGGCACCTTCTTATGTGCTCAGAGATGTCACATGGGCCTGTATTGCTGTCCCTGAGCTCTGCAGCCTCCACCACCGCCAGTCAGCATGGAAGGGACTCAGTTCAGGGCAACTTAGCCCAGGTTTCTGAAGCCCAGTAGGGACCAAAGACAAAAAGGACAGAAGTAGGTCCTCGAAGACTTTCAGCCCAGGGGGTTCATCGTGCAAAAGCCCCTGCTGGACTTGCCTCAAAAGCAGTGGTAGCCAGGTGTAGTGGCTCACCTGTAATCCCAGCTACTCCGGAGGTGGAGATTAGGAGGATCACGGTTCAAGGCCAGCTGGACAGAAAGTTAGCAAGACCCCATCTCAACCAACAAGCTGGGAGAGATGATCATTCCCGCTACTCGGGAAGGATTGCAGTCCAAGGCTGACCAGGGCAAAAATGTGAGACCCCCATCTCAAAAATTAACGAAAGCAAAAAAGAACGGGGGCGCGGAGGAGCCTAGTTCAAACCCTAGTACCGCCGGGTGGTGGGGGGAGCAGCACAGAGGGGCATTTCTCACAAAACGATACTCTGAGCTGTCCCCAGATGTGGCCTCATGAGATCGAAGGAAAGCTGTGCTGAGCCCAGAACACCAGGCCAGAGTACTTGCTAGGGTGACTTAGAGGTGGCAGCTTGTCCTGGTGTCCAGCAGCCAGCGGGAGGGATGTGCAGCCTTGGTGTCCGCAGGGGAGTTTGGGTGGGGCTTTTTAGAAGGTTCGAGGGATTTGGGCTCAGGGCCAGGGCCGGTTTCTTTCAGTGTTTCGCCAACAACCTCACCGCTTTATCGGTGGCCTGGCTAGGCTGCCAGCCTGCTGGGCAAAGCCTACAGCCGCTGGGCCACAGCGCAGCCAAGGTGCCGTGTGTTTTTTAGTCAGAACACAGAAGTGCAGAGGAGCTCCTTCCGCAGGTGAGAAGCCCAGGGAAAGCGCTCTCCTTTCGGGGCCACTCTGGCCGCCCCCACGCTAAATCCCCGGTCTCTGTCTTTCTTCACAGACAGGCAGGATCGAGCCCAACTACCCCAAGGTGTGTGGTCACCAAGGTCATGTGCTAGACATCAAGTGGAACCCCTTCATCGACAACATCATTGCCTCCTGCTCAGAGGACACGTCGGTGAGTGCGTGCGCCCCAAGGAGGGACCCCCCGCACACCCCTCTGTCCCCTCTCGGCCCTGCTCCCGGCCAAGCCCAGGATGGGGAGGACAAGTCAGGGAAGGGACAAGGGACCACACCCCAGGAGCACTGGACAGATCTTGGCTTTTAGCATGGTTGGGCTTGGAGGTGTGACACTGTAGGTGGGAATTAGCACAAAATCGAGGCGTGTGAGTCAGCCCTCGCCTGTGCTGTGGGGCACAGGGCAGGGAGAACGCAGCAGGGAGGAAGGGAAGGAAGGAAGAAAGAAAGCAGGAGAGTCGTGGGTAGGGGCTGCCCCCCAGGTTGTCCTCTGGGAGCTGTGGTGTCTAGGAAAGGACTCTGGGCTGGGAGGACTGTCATGACTGTCCAAGGCCACACAGAGGGCCTGAAATTCCAACTCCCTGTGTCCCACCTCTCATGGGAAGAGAGAAGTAGGAAAAGGGAGTGAAGAGAGAGCAGAGGGGAAGGGAGGGGGAGAGCAGACAGAGATGGGAGGAAAATAGAGGAGGCTGGGGAGTCCAGGGAGACGGGCTCTGCCCCTCTCTCTGGGGTTGCTGCTGCTCACTGGTGCAGCAGGGTCTGGGCCAGGTTTCTGTGTCCCCACCCTGTCGCTGAGCAGCCTCGACACACCAGCTTGAAAACAAGAAGGGGCGTCAGAGTCTCAGCTGAGCTGGTGAGAAGGGCCCCTCGTGTTCCTAGGGGAAAGAGCATCGCCTTCCAGCCAGGCCACAGTATCTACCTAATGGTCACTGGCATAGCCTGGGGCTGTCCACATGCCCGGGATGCTTGCACTGGAAGGAACTCCGCAACTCAGGTCTCCCTGAGTTGGATAGGTGGGTGGGTGGGTGGGTGGATGGACGGATGGATGGATGGATGGTTGCATAAATGGATGGGGAAATGGATGGATTGTTGGGTGGATGGATAGGTGGATGGATGTTGGGTAGGAGGGTGGATGGATGGATGGTTAGATGGATGGATGGGCGGGTGGATGGTTGTAAAGATGGTGGGTAGATGGATGGATTGTTGGGTGGATGGCTACCCTAATGGATAGAGAGATGGCTATCCAATGGACAGATCCATTTATCTACCCATCATTCATCTAGTCATTAGATAAATGGATGAGTGGAAGGAGGATGACTGGGTAGTAGGTAAATGGATAAAGGAAAGATAAACATGAGTGAGTGAATATGGTCCAATGACTCAATTATTGAGAGAGATTGTCAGAAATGGGTGTCCATCAGTTCAGAGTTGGTGGTAAGGTTAGCTGGCACAGAAGTCACATGGGAGAGCAGGGTGGAGGAGCTAGGGGAGTGAGGCAAACTGACCAGCTGGGAGGACTCCCGAGAGCAGTGGCTGTGAGGGCAGGCCCCATGTGAACAAAACAGAACATGTTGTGAGCATGGTCTATAAGGTTTTGTTACTTTCTTTAGCAGCCTCAGAACCAAAGTGAGCAGGGGACAGCAGTCAGGACCAGGACAAAGGCAGATCAGAGCTACAGAAGGTAGGCAGGAGTGATAGAGTGTGAGAAAGATGACAAATCTGGGGAAACACCAGAGGCAGACATTGCTGGTGGGGACTGGAGAGCTCAGTGATCAGCTCAAGGCCAGGGCTCAGCAGGAAAGAGTGCAGACGAGGTGCTGCTCACACCCCTGTCCCTGTATGCAGGGAGCCCAGGAGTGCTATGACTGCAGTTGGTGACTCATCAACCGCAGGGAGCAGACACCCCTGAAACTTGGGATTCCTGCATCTATCCTGAGCTGGGTACCTTGCATGCATTTAGGCCTCCAGATCGTCCAGTGAGACAGGCATTGCTGCCCCCACACTGAGGGCAGGTGGGTGGGTCTAGAACATGGCTGGACAGTAGAGGAGCACAGATTTCCCCTGAGCCCAGTGCGGTGCCTCTGTTCCTCCAGTTCCATCCCCACAGGGGTCCTCCTGTGTGTCTCTCCAGGGGACCCAGCTAGGAAAGAGAACAGCGTATCTGTCTTGGTGTGGAAGACGCCCTGCCTCCTCCTCAGATTGCAACTTCGTTTGCCTGGTTCTAGCTTGCCCTTCTTTCACTTGATGGGTGCTATCAGATTCTGGACCCCAACTAATAAAGACATCCAATGTGTGTGTTCAGACGAGCTGATTGAGAGACCACACTGTGCCAGGTGCTCTCCTGGCTACTGGGGTGCCAGGGAGCTCACGTGTGGGACCTGGTAGCCCTGGATCCCAGCTTCACCGCTTCCCAGCTGGTGGCCAAGGAGGGCACATGGCCTGACCTCTCTGAGCCTCGGTCTGCTTTTCTCTAAAAGCAGTAATAATGAGACTCCTGTTTGGCAGCTGGTACGACCCAGGACGTCTGTGCCTAGCCCTTTGCATGGCACCTATAGATGATACCTGCTGATCTCAGCCCTGCTCTGGAAACAGCCCCTGCAGAGACAGGGCCACCCCAATCACCACAGCGAGTGCAAAGCAGATGAATGAGCTCTGCATTCCCTAAAGGCCAAAGGGCTGTGTGCACAGACAGGAGAGGGATTTATTTAGATGCCCGGAGGAAAAGGAGGTTTGTGAAAGCTGGACTTAGGAGAAGCAGGACTTTGGCCAGCAGAAAAAGGGTTAAAGGACTCACAAGGCAGGGTCTCTATCCTACCAGGCCAGCCCTGGAGGAGGGCAGTGGGACACTAGAAAAGGATCCCAGTGGTGGTCAGCAAGGGCAGGGACGGGGAGGTGGCTGCAAAGGGAGGCTGGGACAGAGACGGTGGGGACACAGTGTGAGCAGCTGAACTTGGAAGTGAGACCTGGGTGTCTCAAGCCATCAGCAGGGTCCAGAGGATGGAGGAAAAGAAACACTGGGATGGAGGCACCACAGCCATCTTTGTGAAGGAGGTGGGGCCGAGCCAGCCAGAAGCAGAGTAGGATGTGGATCAGTGGGGAGAAGGGAGAGCCCAGGGGAAGGGTGTGGCTGGGAGGATGGAAAGGAAAGGACAGGCTAGGGGACACTGGGAGGGAGGGCTGGCTGGGGCTGCTGATCCAGTGACAAGAGATTAGGTCTCAGCTCAAAAAGAGCTGAGGTCTTGCACAGCTGCTCCACCAGCTGCTCCAGAAACCCCTAGTGTAGAACCCCAGCAGATCCTCAGGCCTGCCCTGCTCCTGCCTAGGGACTCAGGACCTTGATATTGGAGCCAGCAGGCCCTGAGGAGGTGGACACCCTGAGGTGGAAGACACACAAGGAGTCTGTGCCCTGGCAGGTCCCAGCCTACCTTTCTACCACCTCACCAACCACCCTGGTTGTACAGGGGAGGAAACTGAGGCTCAGAGCCATAACAGGCTCCGTCCGGATCCCTCACACACTCCGTGTCTACATCACAGTGTCTTCTCTGTGTGGGCTGTGATGGGAGTGAGGGGCCTGGGAGCTGTGAGGGAGGGGACCTCGGACTGGTCCCCCTGCCCCTCTAAGCACCTTGAGGCCCAGGCCTCTGGTTCAACCTGAATGGTCACCTTGCTGGGCAGCAAGCATGCCATCCAGAAGCAAGACTGCTGGGAAGGAGGAGACACCTGCCCACTGGGGACTCTTTTCCCTTCCTTCCCACCCCACCGCTCTCACTGCTCTTTTGGAATATTCAGAGGACACTAAGGCTCTCAGTCTCTTCCCATACCCCTCCCCTGAGAAATCTCAGGTGAAGTTGGTCCCCTACGTCCCTTGTCCCTCAGGACCTGAGCCCTTCCTCCTCCATCCCTGCAGGATCCAGCCAGTGTGCCTAAGCCCCTTCTGCAGGGGCCTCTGTCCTGAGGGAGGGGTGGGAGCCATAACTCTCGCTGGCATCTGGCAGAATCCAGTTCCTTCTGCCGCGGGGTGATGTCACCCATTGTTGAAGGGCTGTGCTTTTTATAGCTTCTGCTGCAGCGAGGAGGGCGACTGGCTGGCAGGCTGGCGGCACTGAAGAGTGATACCACTTTCCAAGCCTCGTGCTCCCGGCCCTTGGTGGGGGGTGGGGGGAGGGCAGAGGGAGGGGAGAGAGAGAGATCCCAGGAGAGAGCGAGAGGCAGAGGGGGGGAAGGAGGCCCCTCTCCGTCAGCACCTTTTTCTCTTTCTGTTCAAGCTCCTTTACCCAGCATCTACTGTCCTCACCCTGAGCGATGCTGCCGTCCGTCCTGGGGAGCTGGAGTGGGCTTGGGCAGGCGTCAGGACTGCTGGAGACTCCCACCCCCACCCCAGTGGAGAAGCAAGGCCTCTTGCTTCTGGAGTTTGCTGTGCACTCCTCCAGAGAGGCAAGGAAAGGAGCCCAAGAGGCCACCACCTAACAGGGTTCAGATCCTGGCTCTGCCACTTCCCAGCTCTGTGATCTTGGGCCAGTTTCTTTACCTCTCTGGGCCCCTACTGTAAGATGGGGCCATGTTGAGCTCGACATGAGAACTAGATGAGATAAAGGTGATCTTTGGATCCACTGAGATCACACCAATACTCACTGTCACTTTCTTTTCCCTAAGGAAGGACATAAGAGATTCAGTAACTCACCTAATCACGGGCGGCCGTAGAGCTGCAAGTCAGAGTCCCAGGCTCCCGGACCAGCTCTCTTCCTTAACTCATTCTTGATTTATGCAGCCCACAAATAGGCCTTCCTTTGCTGGTTTCTAGAAAAGACCAAGCTGAGCTGAGCCTCACAATCCAGCAAAAAAACCTCCACCCAAGTCCCCCTTCCCAGCCAGCATTAAAGGTATGATTCCCATCTTCCAGCCCACCAGCTGCTACCCAGGTTGGGGTGATTCCCTGTTGATGTGCTCATGGTGGGGAGCCTTCTGTGGGTCTTTCCAGGGCCTTGCACATGCTAGGCAAGCATTCTACCACTGAGCGACACCCCTATCCCTTGGTGTTTTGAGACAGGGTCTTGCTATGTAGCCCCGGTGGGCCTTGAACTCTCACTTTTGTTTTTGTTGGCAGTACTAGATGGTCTCATGCTTGCTGGGCAGCCGTTCTATCACCTGAACCATGCCCCC